TTTCTGTTTTTTCCTTATGCTATGGAAGACTGGGCTCACAAAGGCCTAAAGCAACTTTTTTTCTTTCCCACTTTTCTGCTGTTCTGAGGGTTTTCTGTATTTTTGCATAGGTTACTAATGGAAAAGTCTGCTTTCATATTGTTTTATTTTATTCCCCCCAATTTGCCAATAAAAATACCAATATTGCTCTTTTGAATACAGTTCTAGAACTTCATGTAGCATGGGTATATTTGTGCATATATTTGTCTACTGCTTACAAGTAAAGCCAAATATATCTTTATGTTCATCTAATCTTACTTTTAAAGTAATAATATTTTGAAAATATAGCTGTTTTCAAGCTGAAAATGTTTATACTGCTTAAATATATGCAAGACCCCCTTGCATTTTATGGGAGCAATGTAATTAACTTATGAGGACTGCATTTCATTGTAATGTGTATGTTGTGTTGTTTTGTGTATATATGTTTGCTTTCCCTGCTGATGACATATATATGCTTAGTCAGTGATAGGAAGAAGTTAGTATTGGCAAGCTTTATTACTGATATTCATAGCTGATAATTATACACTTCACATTGCCACAGTGTGTTTTTGCACAGTAAAAATATATACATGCGAACACAGTAATAGTTCTTCATATTCCTCTTCTGGCAAACAATAGTACTTTTGTTCTGCTCAATATTTTAATTTTTTTTAAAGATCTGAAAGTGTAGGTGTTTAAATTATGGGTGTGAACAAATGGCAGATAGACATAAAAAAAGGGTGAGAGAAATAAACCCAACAAACTTCCTTTATTTTTTGTAATTCTTTACACGGACTCTTGATCACAAAGTTCTTGGTTTTGAAATTATCTTGGGTATGTATGTTGAGTTAGTCTGGCATCAATTTCAGATGTCTGTAATTTTGGGGGAAAAGGAGAGAGAATGTCCTGAAGTCTACTCAGGTAGAGATTCTTACGATTCTTACATATTCACACACATGCCTCTTGCTTTGTGGCCATTTGTGAGTCATAGAGTAGAGACTCACGGATGAGCTGGTGGGACTCTGTGTGAGTGTGTGTGGAGCTGCAGGTTGTGCCATAAACTAGACTCCTGAATACATATGAGTCAAAAGGATAATCTTGTTTCAGATGTTTGAGGTAATGTTCTGGTCTTGCTTTGATTTTTCCACTCTTCTGTGTCTAAACTTTGCTCTACCCACCTGCTACCTACCCATCCAATAGCTAGTTTTTAGTGCCTTTTGTTGGAAATAGTTTGCTAGAGAATATAAGGAAGATAAAGGAGGGATTATTACTAAGGAAATATAGCAGAATTAGTCCTGTTACTGATTTCATTTGACCTTGCCACTGAATTATGTAATCCTAACTTGTAATTGGTATCAACAGTGGTCTGAAGAACTGTGTGAGAGGAAGTTCTCATTCCGAGGAAGTTCTCATTCGCAGAAAGTTCAGGACAGGTCAAAAGCAAGCTATTTTGCTATTTTCTAGCAAATCTTGTGCCAAATACCAATTGCTGAATTGGTAGGAGTGATCAGTCTTGGTGAAAGTCATGAGTTATAATAGTGCAAGAAGTTTTACGCAATATATAATCAATGAACATTGTTTCTTGTAATGTTGATGGTAATATGAAAAGTATGTATGGGAAAAGTAACTGTAATCTTAAAAATCCTTCACTGAGTAAGTGTTCATGTCCAGGAACTGATTAGGGTTTCACAAGTTCAAAAAGCCATAAAGGACTTAGAGAGAATGAATAAAAAAGAAAATGAAATAGTGGTAAAACTGTGTCTGATACCTAGGTTTGTTATTTCTGGAACAGCATTATGTCTCAAAACTGATCATGTAACTTCAAATTATCTAGACAATTAAAAACATAGTTTATTTGTGAAAGATTTAATAAAGAGATTCATATGTGGAAAGGGTATATATACTTCCTTTAGTTGTTGGAAAGATGTCAGAATTGATACAAGATCATTAGACTCTTCTACAAAGAAAAGAGCAAATTCCATTTAACATCTCATTTCTAATAAAATACGGAAGAGAAGATGCACAGATTTGATGTACTCTGAAAAGGATTTGGGCTCTCTGCCATGACAAGCATGATATGGCACATGCAGCAGAGCACTCAGGCAGTCCAGCCAGAAAAGTCTCTCCAAATGTTGTTAGGAGAGATAATTTAAGAAATTTAATGACATAAAATAAGCAAAAGTGCAGCCTGGGCTATACAAGTATCATTAAACCTTCATTTTTTTTCTCTGAAATGTTTAAAGAGCAGGCAGTATACAGCTGGATTTTTTTTTCTTTTTAAATTAGGAAATGAAAAGATGTAAAAGAGTGGTTAATTTTGCACCCTAACTGCAGCACTATAAGTGTGTGTTATAAAAGCACATAATTGAAAATATGCTCAGTAAATAGTTATGAAACCAAAATAGGCAAACTGAAAATGGCAGATGGACACTGAATACAGGTACTGGGGATGTTGTTACTAGAAGGGTTTCTATTTATGATTTCAGTGAACTGCTGGAATCCATAACTTCTGTGCTCTGTCTTCTCCGCGTTTCTTCTTAATGTGCTTAATAATCTTGAAAAGTAAAACTTTATTATCTAGAGATTTAGTTTCAAAACTATAATTAAAAATATGTGCTGCTTCATAAAGGTCCAGGTAACATACATGTGTTTTTCTTAAAATTGGTTGTTTTCCAGTACTCATTTATATGTTTAACCTAAATATGTCTTTAAAAGTACATATTCTTAATTACATTTCACAGTTCTACACTGCACCTTTAAATTTAAAAAAAAAAAAAAAATTCCTGAGATAATTATGCAGTTTTGTAATCTGCATATGGCCTCTTTTTTCAATTGAATAATTTGCTTCAAGGAACAAGATTTTCAAATGCTATAGCTAATATGAAAGACTGTATAGTTATTGGTAATTAATGTTCTTATGATTAGTGCATTACTAGTCTCTTGAATGCTTTTAATAGAGGTGTGTTTTGAAAGGATTCCATTAATCTATTCCTATAGAGCCGTACTGGGGACCTCTGAAGATGCACAGAATTATCCTGCACAGTGGCTTAGCTCAGTGTGAGAACATGTCCTTCTGCTTGTGCTGCTCTGTATTTTCTGCTCCTCTTAAAAGATAGCTGACAAGAACTGTTTAAAAATAGCAGGCCAAGGGCAGGTGACAAAATGTCACACAAGCAGCACCTGGTCCAGTGACAGCCTGGAGGGAGGAAAAAAACAAACCCAGATGTCACAGATAGGATTCTATTTCTGAAGCTGGTCAAACAGCAGAATTTCAGCTTCAGCAGAGGAAGATAGAAGGGCCCATCCAACTCTCATGCGTTCAAATTTGACTGTATTTTTTCCATAACAGTTTTTTTTTTTTTTTTTTGCTATTCCTAGTATTAATTTGAAAGTGCAGATTAGTATGTACACCTTTTCTCTTTGCAAGTAATACCTGTAACCTCACACTCATTAATACACTATTGAGGAAAAGGGAATTAATATCCATCTGGCAAGATTTCTGAAATATTTTAGCAAAGGTTATACTAACTGAAATAGTAGCAGCTTTGGTATTTCTGCAATGCCAGATTAATTTGAAAATATGTATAGGAGAATTATGTCTGTAATTAGGAAATGTGCAGTAGTTAATGAAGATCATCTCTTTAAGAAGCTTTGCTCAAGGAGTTGGAAAGTAAAAATGGATATTCTTTTTACCTTCTGCCCCCACTTCTTTCTGGAGGTGCTGTTGGCTTGATAGCCTTATTATGGCAACACTTTTTTTCTAAAAGAAGGAAAAACTATAATGTGAAGAAAAGATTTGTTTTTTTTAAACTGCATATGACTTAGTTTCAGAAGTGTACTGAAACTTCATGCCACATCTGTTCAGCAAGAATATTCATTACAGCACAGCAATCTCTGACTGCAAATAAGGAGGCTTTAACTATCAATAGGAACTAAAAATGTTGGAGAGGATTGGCTTTAGTTCTGCTTTTCCAGAGTTTATGTGTTAAAACCTGGGTTTGCAGAAGTAGAGGGACATAACCATTATATTGGTTCTTCAGGATAGTGAGTGGGTCCTGAGCTCCCATATTTGAGTGCCCCTGTGAAGAAATGTGAAGTGCCTCCTTCCTTAGCTCCCAAACTTAACCACAGACACAGAGATATGAAAGCATATGAAATGGATTGACATTATATACATAAAGCTTATTTACCTTACTCAATTGAAATAACTTTTTTTATGGCTCTAATTATCCTTTTATGTCTTTTTCCAAGCGACAGCTAATACCAGTTACAGCTTTCAAATTGTTTCGTGTATTTAATTAAGAAAGTCCTGTTACAAATTTTCTTTAGGATAAGTTTTTAATGCTTCAGCTCAGTTAAATAGTATCTAAAACTAATCTGAACAGCAATGCTTCTGTTGGCTCATTTCTTGCTTTGACAGTAAAAGTAGATTTCTCTGGGCCAAGTCTCCTTTGGGTCAAGATATGTATTTCTCAAAGTACATATGAATGCACTGCATGAGAACAGCATTCCCTCTAACCCAGTGTCTTATCTCAAATAGTAGATAGAAGATTCTTAAGGAAGAATACAAAACCAGGGTAAGAACTTTCCCTCCAGCTACCTGTTAACTTGAGAGCTTTTTACCAATTAAGTGGAGTATTGTAATGCTGTACTTGTTATTGGAAGCCAACTGTAAATGTCCTAACTGCAGCAAACTTGAACTTGAGGCCTTATTTTGAAAGAGTAAGCATAACACTTTCTTAGTGCAAAGCAAAGGAATGTATTAAAAATAACTATTTCACTGTTTATTTTGTGATTTTCAGTATTTTAAGTACGTAACACTAAGGGTGCTTTGGTGTTAAATATTGTACATGTGTATTCTTGGGAAGTTGTCTTCAATAGATGGAAGATTCACCTACCCCAACCTTTAGAAATTTTTCATGTTAATAATTAGTTCAGTTTTCAAATGAAAACATTGAAAATAGCTTTTGCTTACATTGCAGGGCGTATGGGAATAAATTTCCATCATCCAGGAACAGACAATATTATGGCTCTTAATAGTAAGTAGTTAATGTCTAGTGATTTGTATTGTCGTGTTGAATATTATTTCTTACATTTATTCTGTATGTAGCTGCACAGCCAGACAAATATACATAGTAATATTTGCACAGAAGTTTGTGCACATTCTGAAAATGTTCTGAAAATCAGTCACCTCTGATTTCATTAGTAGAATTGGGGGTTCTTTATGTTAGCTTTATAATGACATTGTGTTTCGCTGGAAGCTTCATAATGCCTGCTATAGAGAATATTACAAAACAGTCTCTCTTGTTTCCTCTTGTGTGTGTTAAATCTGTAACTTTATTTTCTGATATCTCTCCAGACATATTTCTTTCTCTTGGGATGAGATGTTACAAGTTTTGCATACAATTACATTGACTGATGGGGTTTGCTTGGTTGGTTTCCATTATGTAGACAGGAATGGAGAGAATGTTTACACATCTAAATAATGAGGAAAAACTGCACTTCACTGAGAGATTATTGCTTTTGTTTGTGTCAGGAAATAAAAGCAAAATTAAAAGTCCAGTCATGAACATACGCATTCAAAAAACCTGCCAGCATGGATCTGGAAGATAGCTCATGTGTGGGGAATTTGGGGGTTGGGGTGTTAAGCACCACCAGCATAACATAGAACTGAACTATGCAAATCTAAGCATAGTATTTGTCTGTCTAATCCTATGAAATGCTATTTTGAAAAGTCCATTTTTACTTACAATGTTGTATTAAACGTGTTAGGATTAACATATGAACTTCTCTGAAAATTTTTTGCCTTTGCACTGTCAGTTTAAGTTAGACTGTGTATAGTTGAGAACTGCATTTTTTTTTTTAATAACCAAAGAATAATTTATAGATGTGAAGGAGTGAAAATTTTTAATAGACAAGATGCAGTGTGTTTAATATTTGGCTGTAAAGGCCAGCTTTTGGAACCCATAAGACTTTGTGTTCTTAGTTTTACACTGTTAATGATGAGGTGATATTTTGAGGAGTTTCAGTTGTCATAGTTAGCATGTGTGCCCCATTTTCTTATGGTCATATGAATTTATGGAAAACCAAGTAATTGACTAGGAGAAGCACTGTTTAATTAAAGACTTTTTTAAAAGAGGCAGCTGTTCGTGTCGGGGTGTGTGTGTGTGTAAATAGGTTCTACACAGTACAGTTGTTGGCTGTTTGACATGAATTTGTTGTTCTAACATGAGCATTGCATTAAGCTGATTGCCATAGTAATATGCTTGTGAAGATGGGATATTACTGAATTTTGAGTTACTTCTAAAAATCGTAGTTACTATGAAATCTATAGTAGTATTTCTTAAGAAGTCTTACAGAAATTTTTGAAAGGCAAGAATGAAAAACTGATAAAAAATGTTACCCTGTTTTGGGACAACTCACTTTTATCCTAAATGAACTGTGTATTCTATTCTGATTTCTTTTTAATGGAAATAATATTAAAGAAATATTTCTTCCCGTCTGATTTCTTTGAAATTTTTACAGCATCTATAAAATATAATAATTTGTGAAAAACAATGATCCTTTGTCTTGGTGTATGGTTAAAATAACAGTAGAGCTGACTGAGGGACCTAAACTAAATATATTTGTGCATTTCCACTGTTTAAAGTACTGAAGTATTAACTGTGTACAGACTTGCATAAGTCTGGAATCATAAATGTGTAATCTATGCAAAATTAAATTCAGCACAAATCAGAAGTCTGAGTAAGTTTCCTTATATTTATCTTCCCTTTCTTTACTAGGTGAGGCCCCACCATTTTTGGTCATTACTGAGAACCCAGAAGCTAGAATTATTGTACTATGAAACCTGTTGGGTTTTGCTCTTAAATCTTTGAAGAACTGAGAATAAAAGCAAATATTTAAGTACATAAGCTTAAAAATTACTTTCTGTGATTGAAATCCTCTTTTGTATGCAGCTAAAACTGAGAAATTTAGAACTATGTAATTCCCATATCCATTACCTTTGTCATGGGGAAATATACTAAGGAAAGTTAGTTCAAGAAGAAATACTCTTTTCTGTGCTGGAATGGTTGTGATTTGGGTTAAAAAATTAAATAAGTAAAATAAGAATTCCCCAAAGATATTTCATAACAGTAATTTTTGGAACAATTTTGAGAACTTATGTAACATCTTAAAATCATAATACTTGTCAAATCTGTGCATAATTTCTGTGAAACCTAACACTGTCTGCTGAAACTGCAAATCCAACCTTCACATTCTATTTATAGTCATTGCTACATAAGCATTTTTCTCTTTTCCTGTGAAGACACAGTAATAATCTTTAAGATTTATTACTCAAAGCTCAATTTCACACTGACAGTGTACACAAGCTTTTGAAGTTGGAACACAACATATGCTCATGCCAACAGCAGTGCAGAACTTCACATGCTGTAGGGAGAGGGGAAGCTCTGAGGGGTGTTCATCTCTAGATCCTTCTCATCCTCTGTGGCAGCACTTTCAACTGCACTTGAGCTGTTACTCTTACTTACTGATTCCAACCTTTGGAAACTTGAGGTTTTCTTGACTGACTGTTTTGGGCTGCTGTCTGTAAATGTTGAAGGGGATTGTTTGGTTTGAGGGAAGGTGTTACTTGCTTAGTTGGCAGCGCAGTGTGGAGCATACTACCACCACTTTGTTCATCATTGTGCGAAGCTATAAATCATCATCATCTCAAAGCACCAAGTTCTGAAATAATGAAAATAGTGGGATAGAAGAGATTGCTTTTAAATGCATAATTATTATGAATCTCTTCTTGTCATTAATGGCATTATGCTTGTGTACATACGCAGTTGCACATATGTATAAACATGTTTATGTTTATAAATGCTCTTGAAGTTCAGAATTAAACTTCTGTTGAGGAATGCAATGCTCAAATGTGCAGAGAGGTCTGTGCATAATCCTAAAGAGCACTTAAACAAAAAGAAGATGCAAATCTTTCTATTTGAAGCATTGTTCAAGGGAAAAATGTATAGATGCTGTCTGTACCAGATCTAATTGAAATTTCTCTAATTGAAATAGTGTTTTTAATCAATTAGTGACATCAGTTATTGAACTTTTTTATCATATTGTTCATACTGAGCTAAACAGTAGCAGAATTTTGAAAAACTTCCATCTACAGCACCTATTACTGATAATTTTATTAGATGTTTGAAGTACCAGTTAAAAGCTATGCTTAAAATACTAGGCAAAGCCTGAAAAGAAATTATTTTGCTTTGGAAAATTACCTCAAAGGTGTCCTCCATGCCTTCTCTTGTTATTGTTCACTGCCATTTGCAGCCATATGTTTCTGCAGCCAGTGCTTCTGTCTGGAAGCAGTTGGACTTTCTCTTGAGTGCTTCTCAGGAAAATGTGCTTCTTTTAAATTAGCTGTGTGAATAGGACTAAATGATTAGCATGAATACGTGGTAGGTGGTAAACTATCTTTAATGCTGCTTGTGAACATCAGAAAGCCAACAATAAACTTTAGGGAGTGAGAAGTATGGCAGGTGAAAAAGGGAGATGGGAATAAACAAGAGTGTTAGACCTTTCTAAGGAAGAACTGAACTGTTTTGCTGGGATCCCAAATTATATTCCATAAAATAAGTTTAAAGGTAGTTAAATGAGCAAATGAGAAACCCCTTTGTGAAACGCTGGACTTTTGTTTTTCCTAAAGCTCATCTGTGCAGTGACTTTTCAGTGATGTTGGGCTTCAAATGTTCTGTGTTGCTTCCACTGTTCATTCTTGTCTCATATGAAACTGTGTCATCTCTGGGGTCTGGTACTATTTGCTCTCCATCCGATTGTCATTTCTTCTTTTTGTTAGTGTGATTAGTTCTGTCTATTCAGAGTAAAACAATTTGAAAAATACATTAAGGTAAGGGTTTGGGGCATCTTTTTAGATGTCCATGTTGAGATTTTGGGTTTGTTTCATTAATATAGATAATAATTATGTGAGGAAGCTGTCACGCCATGACAGGAAATGTAATGACAACAAATTGATTTCAGGTGTTGGGTTTTGTTGTTGTTGTGGTGGTGGGTTTTTTTGTTTTGTTTTGTGGTTTGTTTGGTTTTTTTTTTTTTAATGTTTCTTTTGGTTTTAAAATTGCCTTGTCTCCTTAAGAGCTGTTGTACTTGGCTCTTTCTGTATTCTGATGTGTTGCTTTCAAACACAGAAAGTGTTTCGATATAAAAAAGTTGCTGAAGTAGCGTTTTATATTTGAACTTCTTGCCAGTGCTTCTGTTATAGCTTGAAAATAACTGCTCCAAATAGAAGGTTTGTTGAATTATTTTTGTCCTGCAAGATCTTGGGTTGGCAGTTTAACAGCTAATAAAAGCTTGGGTTTTTTGTAGTGATAGTGTTCTGGGAAAATGTGTGACTGAATTTCGAGAGGCATCAATCTCTTCTAATAG